GAATCAGTTCATTGATCCAGCTCAGTGACCCAGCTCAGTGAACCAGCCCAGTGAATCATTCAGTGACTCAGCTCAGTGACTCAGCTCAGTGACTCAGCTCAGTGAATCATTCAGTGAATCAGCTCAGTGAATCAGCTCAGTGACTCAGCTCAGTGAATCAGCTCAGTGAATCATTCAGTGACTCAGCTCAGTGACTCAGCTCAGTGACTCAGCTCAGTGAATCAGCTCAGTGAATCAGCTCAGTGACTCAGCTCAGTGAATCATTCAGTGAATCATTCAGAGTGATTCTTGACTCAAAGAATCTCAGTCACATCCATCTCCAAAATAAGGGTTAGATTACGTTAAGTTTTAGGATTCGTATTCCAGAGTTATTATTTTTAACTAAAACTAAAAGCATATTAAATAAAACATATTTTGTAACTTGAAATAAAAAAAGTTTTAACTGAAATAAAAATGTAAATCATTAGTTGTCAATGCATTTTTATTGATGTTTTTATTGATGCATTTTAACTTGATGTACTAAAATAACAACAATAATAATAATACTATAAAAATAATACATAAAAAAACTAAACTAAAAATACCCCCCCCCCAATACAAAAACTACAAGTAAAACAAATAAAACTAACGCAAACAACTGATACTAAAATAAGCGTCGCATTCACAGCAGTTTTGTTGGAATAAATCGTTTTTTAAACAGTATGCATTCGGCAGATATACTTCTCTCCAAAGCAACTTAAATTGCATTCATGTTTATGGATTTATGAATTCACTGAGAGTTTTCATGATTTAACGCCATGTCAGCATCAATTCTATTTTCTACATTCATGGCAAAAACAATTCAGTTGCATCACTCAATCAATATCCTTTCATTTTAATGTTTACAATAATGTAACAATTTTGTCTTAAAAAGTCAACTGCTGTACTGTTTGAACTACAGGAGCATTATTAATCATCACGTAAACTGCTCATATTAAGCAGAAGACATCATTAATTTATCATTGTTATTGAAAAATAAGAACAAAAGACACACATTACACATACACATAACATACAAATAAATCAAACAGTGCTTTATTTCTCCAGTAGAGTGTATTTAGCAGAATTGAATCAAAAAATATAAAAATAAAACACTACATTCACTTCACTGCATAAATTATACATAGATTCTTATTAAAGCAACGGTACTGATGTTCTTCAGTCAAGAGCAGCGAGTGATTTTTCTTTTTGTGTTTTGTTGTTTTTATTACGATTAAGGTGGATAGTTCACCCAAAAATGAAAACTCCGTCATCTGTCTGTCAATTCTGTCATAGTGTTTTATTTTGACACCATCATTTATTCACTCTAAAGTTGTTTTTAACCTGAGTTGAGTTTCTTTCTTCTGCTGAACATAAATGTTATGTTGAAGAATGTGAATAACCAAACAGTTGCTGGTCCCCAGTTTTTTTCACTATTAACAATTAATGACAGAAATTACATTTGAATTAAATAAATTGGGTGAACTATCCCTTTAATGACAGTCGGCAGCATGTTTAGTACTGTCGCTTTAAGAGCTAACAATACAGGCAAAACACACCTTAAAGCACATGCAAATAATGTACTTTTGTGATTGCAAATAAGAGCAGTGTATCTTGAGATGATTGAATGTGCGCTGTAGCACGATACTACGATATTTCTTCAAAAGCAGATCGTGGAGACATTTTTATCGTCCACAGTCAAAAATCGTCATAACGCACACCGCTTACTAGGGCTGTCAGAATGGCTGAAAAACTAAATTCAAATTTTGTACTTAAATAATATCAATATTCGAATTATATTCGAATTTAAAAGGCATAATTTCAATAAGGGGGAAAAAAGCTTTTGGCTTCTCTCCTGAGGCCACAAGAGGGCGCATCGAGCAAAATATTACTAATGCACGTTTATTCAAAGCAATAAAATAACACGACTACCTTTGGAAAACGTGCATAATGTTTAAAAACCATTTATATAATTAATTAAGTTGCTTAAACAATTAGAAACAAAACTGCATCATGTATGTATGCATAGTTTAATACAAAGGACCGAAAAACAATCACAAATAATACTTTTTTATTTAAAAACATAAGATGCAGTGGGATGGCGAAAAAACCGCCATAAAGTCTCGAGACGTGTTTTTAAAAGTTGAACTTACATTAATATTACGTGGCTTTCTAAACATGCGGCTCTTTTGTGCGAGACACGAGTGCAACAGTGATAGATGTCCCTCTAGAAAATGCGATAAATATGCGTTCTGTGTGAACGGCTTGGTTTCAGTTTTGATGTAAACAACAACATCTCCGCATTGATGTTCTCTTTTTCCGCAATATTTTGAATGAACAACGCAGCAGCGCCATCTAGTGGCTTCAACTGGATAGGTTAAAAAAAGCATTAAAATGCAACGACACCTACATCGTCATCTCATCTCGTGTCCGCTGATAAGCTGCCTGACGTACACCTACAATTCGAATGCAAAAACGTTGGATTTATATTTTAAATTCGACGAATGTTCGAAACTTGACAGCCTTAAGCTTACTGGACAGCTAAGACCATCTAAACACATGAACACGCTGCATCAGACGACTGCTTAACTAGTCTCACATCACTTTTTCAACCAGAGTACACGGGTCTGTTATCACGGTAACACACCAGCGCATGGAAAGCATGCACAACTACACAATGAAGACGAGCCGCTGATCTGAGAGCAGCAGAAACAAACTGAACCGGTTCCGATGATGTGCATCACACATACGTGCTTTAAAGCCTTTATTTGGCTTTCTGTGATCTACTGAATTCTTCAGATTCAGATGAACCTGCAGGAATGAGAGGAGTGGACTCAAAGCCCGCGTCTGATTGGCTTTGGCATATTACGTAAAACAACAGCAGGTTAATTATTGAGCGGTTGGTTACACGACTGATAAGATGACGGCTGGTCAAAACCCAATAAATCAAAGTGTGTCCCTTCATAAACCTGCTTATAAGCAGATCAAACCATGAGCGCCGCGTTCAGCAAAAAACAGCACTATTTCTGTCCTGTTTGGCAGCAACAACAAAATGTTTAAACATCTTTAAAACAAGTTACATTTACAGTTTTCAGAGAATATACTACATTTGTTTTGTTTTGTTAAATAGCTCATTTTTAAGCATCACAGCGTTTAACGTCACAAGTTTGTTTACATGCTTATTTATAAGTTTATATGCTGTTAAAAGAGATATGAGGATATAATGTTAAAAAACAATACTATCAGATTCACAGCAGAGTTTTGTTGCATATATTAAATATATATATATATAATAATAATTATTTTTTTTTTTTTTAACCTGCATTAAAGATTTGTATTTTTATTAGCTCATGCATTTCTTAGGAACATGCCAGTGCCGACAAAAAAAGGTTTAAACATCCTTAAAATTATTTATACTTAAGAAGAAAAGGTGTGTAAGATACTACGACATGTTTTAAGAGAATACTATAAACCATTTATTCTCTTTTTTTTTTAAATATTGTTTTAAAATGGCTTTTTTTCAACATTTCTAGCAAAAGCATTTTGTTAATGTTACGCTTAAACCAAGATTTTTCTTTTCTTTTCTGGAAAACAAGACAAAAGACAATATTGAAGAAAATGATTCTTTGCTGCAACAACACTTTTTATTTTAATGCATAATCATTTTCTATTCTTAACAGTCTTAATTCATTTTAAATCAATTTTGAACTCGTTTTAAGTTTTTTAATTCCTCGTTGTGATTATTTTACTGTCTTTTCTGTAAAGCACTTTGAATTACCATTGTGTGTTAAATGTGCAATAGAAATAAACGTGCCTGGCCTAGTTTAATAAAAGCATGCCATCATGTGTTAAAACAGCAACTCCGAGGTAAACGTTAGTCTGGTTAACAGCTTGCAAAAGTACAAACTTGAGCAGGTTTCTTCAGGATTATGTAAGACTCGGTTAGGAAATATTGCGCTGCACTTTGTAACTTACAAACTCAGCAGAAAAGATAAAACACATTCAGATGCAAACGATTGTTTATCTCACAACACAGACTCTTCTCAGAATTGCAAAATATAACAACTCTTACTTTTTTTCTCAGAATTAAGAGTTTTCATCTTGCAATTCTGTTTTTTCTTCCTTTTTGTTCCATCTAATAATCAAACTAACTTTTTTTTTAAATTCTGTTTATATCTCAAAAATTCTTATAGCTCAAGAACTGAAATTGAACTGAAAAAAGAGACAAAGTCACAATTATCTCTTCAACCAAATTTTTAATGCAATGGTAGAAACAGGCTTCTATAGATATCAGATGTAAAGACACGGGTTAAAGCAAGACATTTAGTAAATAAAGCATTGCATGCAAATGTGTTCAGATGCATGTGAGGGAGTGAGTGTGAGAGGAACCGTGAGCGGTTGCATCCTCTAACTAACTAGTATAACCAGACTAGTTAACCCAGATCTGCTGTTTACGTCGCTTAGTGTAAATGCATGCTATCTTACACACCTTTTGCGTTAGTGACAGCTCACAAATCCACAATACATTCAAAACTGTCATGCAACTGAAAAGTTGTACCTTGTTAAACTTCTGCTGGACTACAAAACTAACAAACTCAAATCACGCTTTTAAATAGCAGCCCTTTTAATTAAACTCCAAGAAAACATGACTATAATCAGGCAGACTCTCGTGCCACGCCAGTCCGAGCCTCCAGCTACTCTGTAACACTCTCATGCACGGGTCTGCATGTAACATCTGTATCGACACAAAACGCTTCTGATGCATATTGTATCATGCATGCACACTGATGAATATTAGCGCTGTTTTGATGTGATCAAGAGCTCTCATAACGCTTTCGCGTTGCTGTGCGCTATAACGCGGTCATGCACGTATAAACTCACCCTAAATAGTTGTCTCAACGTTAGTGTCAACATGGTAAAGCCACCCAACTTCTCCGGTTCCAGCAGGGTTTTGCGTTCGCACGTTTTTCGTCCGTCGCCTAAATGACAGCAGCGAATCGCCGATAAGCGCGAGTGCTCATGGGAAATGTAGTCCTGTCATAGACGCGTCAGCTGGACTACAAACTGACGTCAGGATTTACATAAAACCTGGGAAATGAAGTGTTCCTTACATCTCAATTTATCAGTCATTTTATGCATTTTATGAGTCAGTTGCATTAGATTTTATTATTTATTTCCTTTTTTCCGGTGTTTAATACAATTTATTTCAGTATCACTGAGATACTAGTTTAAAAAAAAAAATGTGTTTATGTTTTAATCTTAGTTAGTTTTAGTAATGTTGTGCTTTTGTACCGTTTATGTGCCTTGTATTTTTTTTAGGCTAACTATTTTTATATTTTCTACATCAAACTAAATGAAAAATGCCTTGGGAGCTTGATATTTTTTTGTAAAAATATATTATTTCATTTCAGTTTTTAGTTATTTTATTTTTTATAATGTTTTAATTTGAGTTTTCCATGCAATCTCTCAATTAATGTGGTTTCATAAAGTTTGCATGCATAGACCAGAAATTATTTAATATTTGCTGATTATTTGCTGAACTCTCAGACAGAACTTTACAGTAAATTGCGGAAACGAATGCTTGCAATTAATTAATTGCATCATCATTTACAGTGGCATTAATTAAATACACTATAGTTTTTTATTTCTAAATTGTACAGATTACTGGAGTATGTTTCACAAAAAATACTTGTGAATTGAATTAAAAGTTCACATTTGATTTAGAGTTACTTGGCGTTTCAATGCAATTATTGGTGAAGTCTCTAGAAGTTTAAACTGTCCACCTTTCTTCCAGTGTGATTGCATTTATTTACATACGTGTTCATATTCTGATATTAGCTATCACAAGTGTAACATATAATGATATACTGTATATAAATGTCACTTTTGTTTTTATTGGAATTTTTTTTTATGTCAAAATAATCTAACAGGAAAAATACCCGCACTCCATGAACACAAACACATACTTACCATCAATCAAATAACTAACAGTCAGCAATTAACATTAAATGAGGCATGTTTTCTCTTTCTGACCCTAAAAACAAACTGATTGTGTAGAGAAAATGCACTTTTTACACTATATGCACAATGGTAAAATAATCTTACAATAGAAGAAGTGTCAGCGCATGTGAAATAAATACAGTCAATCATTAGATAATAACAGCAGGTCAGGCCGGTTAGATTTAATTATTTATTTGTGATACATTATTTACACACAATGTTCCCCATGTATGCTTATACACATCATCAAGCAATGCTTTATTCACAGAACTGTGCGTTCGGTGCTTGACTTTAAAAACAAGAGAACGAATCGGGAATCATTCTTGAGTCTCTTCAAGCTTTATTCAGAGCTAGTGAATAGATAAGCTATGTCTTTAATTTCATAATATATAAAGGTAGGGTGGATAAGATTCTGTTCCTTTGGATCTGTTCAGTATTCTGCGGATTGTGCTCAAGTGTTCTGAACATTAAACCTCTGTTTATCCTGAAAGCTCTGCTGATGAATCTGCACATGATTCGAATCTCTTCAAAATAAAGGTTCTTTATTCGAAGCAATGCTTCCCGAGAACATGCTTTAACATCCATGGAAACTTATATAGTTAGATCATTAAAATGTTAATGTACTGATCTCTTAAAAGAGCCAAAAGTGGTTCTTTACTCAGAAAAATAAAGGTTGATTGCATTGATGGTTTCACGAAGAACCTTTAAATCCATGGAAACTTTCCGTTTTTTAAATGTTCTTCAATCTAAGAAAAATCGGTTCTTTTTAAGATCTGATCACTGGAAGGTTCTTTGAGGAACCAAAAATGTTTGTTTTTTTTACTGTTAAAAAATTAAGGCTCTTAATTGGAATCGATGACTCCGTGAAGAACCTTTAACATCCATGTCCTTTATAGTTGAAAAACGTCTTTAGTTCATCAAAACGTTCTTCACGGTCAAAAAAAAAGAAGTTTCTTTTAGGAAACGTTCACTGAAATCTTCTTTGAGGAAACAAAAATGTTTTTCTAAGGCATTGCTGCAAAAGAACCTTTTGGAACCTTTATTTCTACGAGTTTAAGGGAAAAATCTAGTGCTTTCAAACGATTAATCGCGATTAATCGCATACAAAATAAAAGTTTTTGTTTACATTATATATGTGTACTGTGTGTATTTATTATGTTTATACAAACACACACACATACAGTATATATTTGGAAAATATTTACACATTTATATATTCACATTCTTATATTATATATAAATATATTTCATATATAAACAACATATTTTTCCTAAATATATACATGCATGTGTTCGTAATAAATATACACAGCACACACACATATATTATGTAAACAAAAACTTTTATTTCGGATGCGATTAATCGCGATTAATCGTTTGACAGCACTAAAAGAAAAACATTTCTCAAATTTACCCAGGTTTTCTTAATCATAATCATATCTTGTGTACATCTTGAAGTCGAAACGAATTCATGTTCCCGAACGATTCATCGTTGCACGTCGTTCTAAAGAAAATAAACGTTTGTCTTCATCACCTTCCTTCGTGACCGACATGAAAAATCCATATTTTTCATCCACCTGTTATAGAGACTCTATATTTTCATCATCATCCAAGCTAGTGAAGTCCGATGTGTGTTGGCTTGAACACCGGTTTCGAGTTTGTGAAACCCTGATCAGACCATTAGAGACCAGATCTGAGCTGGTTTTCGTCTCCATTCTGAAAGACGTAAGCAGGATCAGTAGAAAAACCACGCGTTCCCTGTTGGTCTAACAGTCGACGGATGAAAGCATAAAGAAACCAATATTAAGAGCTGAAGGGATTCGGGCGATTCTTTCTATATGTGACCCTGGAGCACAAAACCAGTCATGAGGGTCAATTTTGTGAAATTGAGATGTATGCATCATCTGAAAGCTGAATAAATAGATTTCCATTGATGTATGGTTTGTTAGGATAGCACAATATTTGGCTGAGATACAACTATTTGAAAATCTGGAATCTGAGGGTGCAAAAAAATCTAAATATTGAGAAAATCATCTTTAAAGTTGTTCAAATGAAGTTCTTAGCAATGCATATTACTAATCAAACATTAAGTTTTGATATATTTACAGTAGGAGATTTACTAAATATCTTCATGGAACATGATCTTTACTTAATATCCTAATGATTTTTGGCATAAAAGAGAAATGTATAATTGTGACCCATACAATGTATTCCCGTCACCAGAAGGCTGAACTTGAGCGTCTTGACGTTGAAGTAGAAGTCGCCCCAGCCGAAGATCTTTTTAGTCTTCATGGAGGTTTTGAGGGAGGGCTTGCGTTTGGGACGGTAGCCCGTTTGGTCCAGGAGCTGCGACTGGTTTCGCATCCATTCGTAGGGGTTCTGGAAGCTGAAGGTGGGTGGTTTGGGCTTCGAGGGCGTGTGGTCCAGCGTGGAGAATATCCTGGAGGTCTGCTGTGGAGGTTTGACGCCGCCTGACGGAGCGGGAACGCCGTATGGGAGGCTCTTGAAGACTGTGCCGGATGGTCCTTGCTCCAGGTAATCCAGAGATTTGCCCACCTGTTTCTCCAAGCCGTGCACCTGCGGACACACACACACACACACACACACACATGGAGACGTCAGAATAAAAAAACCACACACAAACGTTTGATTTAAGTAGGACTGTAATTCAGCATCATTCGATATTTTGTATTAAATATTTATTTAAAAACTCTTTAATCATAACAAAATGATATATGATAGAGACGATGCCTGTAAGTAAGACTAATTCAGCTTCATTTGATTTTTAGATAAATAAAAACATTAAATGTGACCCTGGAGCACAAAACCAGTCATAAGGGTCAATTCTTCGAAAGTGAGATGTATACATCATCTGAAAGCTGAATAAATAGCTTTCCATTGATGTATGGTTTGTTAGGATCGGACAATATTTGGCTGAGATGCAACTATTTGAAAATCTGGAATCTGAGGGTGCAAAAAAATCTAAATATTGAGAAAATCATCTTTAAAGTTGTTCAAATGAAGTTCTTAGCAATGCATATTACTAATCAAACATTAAGTTTTGATATATTTACGGTAGGACATTTACTAAATATCTTCATGGAACATGATCTTTACTTAATATCCTAATGATTTTTGGCACAAAAGAAATTTGATACATTTTATAATTTGATAATAATTTGATCATTCTATATGTACTACTAAAAAAATTACATAAAATATACAAATATTTAATTATATTTAAACATTTCAATATTTAAATATTTGTTAAAAACTCTTTTAAAATAAACAAACATAACTATAGTATTCAACATTTGAAGTGGATCAAAAAAGTAGATTTTTAGTTAAATAAAAATATAAAATACTAAATTTTTAATGCTGTCGAATGATTAATCGCATGCCAAAATAAAAGTCTTTGTTTGCATAATATATGTATGTGTACTGTGTTTATTTATTATGCATATATAAATACACACACATACAGTATATTCATATAATTTATATCATATATAAATATATTTAATATATAAACATAACATATTCTTCTTAAATATATACATATATGTGTGTGTGTTTATATATGCATAATAAATAAACACAGTACACATACATATATTATGAAAACAAAAACTTTTATTTTGGCATGCGATTAATCGCGATTAATCATTGCCCAGCATTAAAAATGTAAATAAAAAAATATATATGTATTTAAACATTTAAGTATAATAAAAAAATTTTTAAAACATCTTTAAAAATAACCAGCGCAAACATTTGAATTTGAAAAAAGAAATATGATAAAATGATGACTGTAAGATTCAATTTTAGTAAAAACTAAATACATAAAACATACAAATACTTAATTATATTTCAACATTTTGATATTTAAATACTATAATTCAATATTTTTAAAAAGTCTTTTAAAATAACATACACAAAGATTTTACTTTAAAATAATAAATATGATGATGACCGCAAGACTAATTAAGCTTGATTAGATTTTTTTGTCAAAATAGACATTTAAATATCTAAATATAACACTTAAAACATAAAAATAACTATAAAATATTTAATTACATTTAAACATTTCAAAACATAAATACAATAAAAAACCTTTTAAAAATAACAAACACGAAGAGAAATAAGAAATATAAGAAATAAGAAAAAATAAAATAATAAAGTTAGGAAATATTTAATTACATTTAAAATTTTTAATTAACATTTAAAAAAATCACAAATATTTGACTTTAGTCAGATAAACAGACATTTAAATATATAAACATAATACTTTAAAATGAAACAATAATTATAAATATATTTATTTATATTTAAACTTTACAAAAATATTTTATTATATTTAAACATTTAAATATAATAATTAAATATTTGACATTTTTAAAGTCTTTAAAAATGAAAAACAAGCATACGGTATGACTAAGAAATATGATAAAGATGACAACTGTAATTAAAACCAATTCAGATTTATTTGTTTTTTTAATAGAATAATTTCATGTTTACGGCTGCGTTCAGCATGACTTCTTAGTATGTACAGATATTCTGCATAATTAAAAAAAAAATATCTGAAAGTATTCAGTAGGATGCTGTCTAAAATCATGGCAGTCCAATTATATAATGAGTCTAATATAAATATTTTTCCAAATAATATACAAAATATATAATGTAATCTTATGAAAAAAACATGAATCAATAATAAATCAGCAGTGCATTGATTCTGCGATGTGTTCAGTCCTGATGGATTCAGTATTAATTGCTGAAGACAGAAACACAGAATAATTAAACGCCCAAGACATTGGATTTTGCACATGTACTATTAGAGTGAAGAAATGATTATCAATGACTCAAGAAAAGCACATTTAGTGTAATCATCGTGAACACAGGATCAATAACACGCATCTAGAGCGTTCTACAGAGAGCCAATCATTCTAGAGCCATGTTCATAATTCATAAGCTGTCTCTCGCCCATCTCCCCGGGACATTTCTATTTTTACAGTTCATTTCATGTTGTTGTCACTGCTCTATTTTCACAGTGAAGTGAGCTGCAGATCTGTTCTCGTGTCACTTCTGCACTGTTTGCTTCTCGTCTTCAGTCCGGTGAGTGTGTGAATAATAATAAAGACTGATTGACTGGAAACAGAGACGCTTCTGCTGCTTAAATATCTGATGTCATGCTGTTCTCATCATCAGACACACACCGTACAGACTGGAAAACAATAAAGAACAGGTCAAGAAAACACTCACACACACACACACACACACACACACACAC